ACAGTTTTAATCCAAGGGAGAAATTTGGGGGAAAGCGAATAATGGGTTTTAATTAGTATAATAATAATAATAATCCTTGTACAAAAACAGAAGTGTCTGGGAACCCTCAGCAGGTCAGGCAGCATCTATGGAGAAAGGAAAGTGAGTCAACCTTTGGGGTCCAAGACCCTTGTCAGAATTGGAGCGTGTTGGGAGGGAGAGGCTTTTAAGGGCTAACAGAGAGGGGGGAGGCAGGACAAGGAGGAGAAAATGTGATAGAGGACAGGGGATGATGGGTTAAAGAGGTATTAATGAAGCCAAACAAAGGGGGGATTGCTACAAAGGAGGGGAATAGAGGTGTTCCGTGAAAACGGGTTTTAGTGAACACATTATCAAACGCAAGAAGGGAAACAGATGGCAAAGAGGGAGAGCAGGGCAAGGGGGAAGAACGAAAGACACGTCGAAGCGAAGAGCAGAACTTCTTTAAGGTAGGCTTTCCTAGAAGAGAAGTGGCAGTGAATTAAATATAAACAAGACCCAAAATACTGCAGATGCTTATCTGGCTTATTATTTTTCACCTCTGCAATCTGCCCCCTCTGCTTTACTGCCATGGTCCTCTCTCTCTTGAAGCGTCCCCCCACCGAGGGCTCAGCGCACAAGGTTGGCTTGCATTTCTGTAGTGCATCGCAAGGTTGTTGCACTCCTCAGAAGTCACTTGTGATTTGAGCGCCTGGAGAATATCGCTGCTCACGCCGCTGGCATCCCATCCAACCCCCTGGCACTGTCTAGCATGTGTGTGTTTGATTACCTGACACACACGGAAACAGAGAGAGACACAGGCAAGGTTTCCGCACAGAAACCTTAACTGCGAAAGACTTGCTTGGTGCTCAGCCAAAGAGTTTAAACGATCCAGGATCTTGCTTTATTATTAATAATGTTTTATCAATGTTCTGGAGACTGCGTGATGAGGTTAGCTTTGAAAATGCATCCGTCCTGAATAATGATCACAGTAATCATGCAATCCCATCCCCAGCCTGAAGGGGTCGCTCCGTATCCTCATGATCAGCAATAAAACTCGAGAGGTGAGCAGTCAGATCTATATTTATCTTCTGATTAGCTGACAGCCCTCGAGAAGGAAATAACTAAAGGGCACCTTTTACTTTACCACGATATCGGTTGTAAACACCTCTGTCTGAGCGAGTTTGCTTACAACTGTTGAACATATTGAAGCTCCCTCCCGAGCCCAGGTCTGACTGGGGTGGCGGTGGGCAGATACCCTCCAGAGAGGTGTCTGTAACCCAGAGGCAGCTCATAGCATCTTGAACCTTGGCTCCACTTTCAATTTATTTGGTCCTTCGGATGAGACGTTAATCCGAGGTCCCATCTTCCTGTTCAGGTGGACATTAAAGATCCCATGGAACGATTCAAAAAGAGAAGGGAATTTCTCCCCGTCCTGGCCAACAATCCCCCAAATAACATCAATCACTCAATCCAGGACTGTTTGTGGGGAAGCTGCTGTGCGCAATTGGCTGCTGCGTTTTGCCCACAAAATACTCAGTCAATCCACTTTGCAGCGTATCCTGTGAAGCGCTTTGAGACGTCTTGAAGACGTGATAAGGCGCTATATCAAATGCCAGGATTATTTTTTTATTTACTCTATGTAACATTTTCGAACGTACAGAAGTCTTAAACGCAGGCCTTCAGTCTGAAAGCCAGTTTTCTGTAAATTATTTTTTAAACAACGAACAAAACCACCTCCAAAGTCCAGACTGAACACAACCATTTGCACAATCATTTGGCAATGATTTGTCGCTATATGCCTGTCCCATGTAAGCCAGACTGGATGTTATTAGTCTGTTAGTAGTATATCAAATTTCTGAAAGGATTTTATACTCAAAATCGACAGATCTGAGACTGGAACCAGAGCGTTTCCACTTTAGTGACACTGGACAATACAGAGCAGGGTTTGTATTGATTGATAGACTTAATTTAAACGTTGTATCACACGTTAAAGCTTAATGGATTGTTTGCATTCAGCATTTAAGATCTGTGTTTATTAACTTAAAGTGTTTTACACAATATACAGTAATACTTGTCTCTGGGATAACATTGCTCGCATCTGGCGTTTAGTTCCTGACGAGAAAGAGGATTTCTCACCGGCAAACATTGCATTTCATCAATTCTCCGTCTCCACATGATGTCATGACTTTGGGCCCAAAGGAGTGAGTACAAGTAAGTATTTAAACATAAAAGAGTGAGAAATAGGAGGTGGGGAGAGGGCGAAGAACAAACCCAGCATGAATTAACACGTCAGATATAGCCAGAGAGAAACAGACTTCAAGTAGGAGTTGAAGGTTAAATCGATGTTTGTGCAGCCAGCGCTGGTTCCTTGTCGAGACAATTAGCTACTAGTTTGAGAAACTTGTCATGATAACACCATTTGCACTGTGGTTTCAAACCGCTCCACGCATTAATTACACTGATGCTTGTTTGCAGCAATTTCTTAGCAGTGAGATGTTAATGACAGTAGATTTTTTTCCCCCAGAGAAGAGACTGTCTGATAATCGAGGGTGGGACAACGATAGATTGGATCAGATAATAATTATCTTTGGGATTAACAAAGATCCAATGGGAGGGAGGAATTCCTTGTTTGGAACCTTGCTATCACCTCCAGAACTTAATTGTATTAACCAATGGATTGAGATGGGTTCAGGTAATTTTAAACAAGAATTATCCTGTAATTGTATGCTCTGTTTAAAGAGAAAGTGGAGATTTCATCTCCAGCCCTAATTGGGTCGTCAAATAATGTTTCTTCCCTCCCCCCCCCCACCCCCCAACACACTGTGATATCTGTAAGCTTCACATTTGTTTTATAAGGAGCTAATGTCAAGCCCTGAACAATGTGCTTCACCGCTATAAGTGCTGCAACCGGACAGCCAATATACGCACAGCAATGTTCCACCTCCAGTCATTCAAATGAACGATGAATTTATCTTCCAGAGAGATGTTGTTGACCATAAATAATAATAATAATCCTTGCCTTTGATACGCGTTATCACTTCGTTCAGACGTCTCGAGGCAGAATATACTGGAAAGTGAATTGACTGTATATTTTGTGTTTGAAATACGACAGCCAATTGCGCACAGCAGTGTCCCACAAACAGTTGTGGATTGAGTGACCAATTTTTTTTCAGGGATTATTACCCGGGGATCGCGATCCACCAATCGACTAACAACTGGGTTCCTACTTACTGCTGGGTAAACAGAGGCGTGTATATTGTGTGTACTGTGTGTGTATTGGGGGGGTGTATTTTGTGTGTATTGGGGGGGGGTGTATTGTGTGTGTATTGGCGGTGTGTATTGGGGTGTGTGTGTGTATGGGGGGGTGCATTGGGAGGTGCACTATATTGGGGGGTGTATTGGAGGGGGGTGTATTGCGGGGTGCACTATATTGGGGGGTGTATTGGGGGTGGGTGTATGGGATTGTGTATGGTGGGGTGTGTATGGGAGTGTGTATGGGGGGGTGTATTGGGGGAGTGTATGGGGGTGTGTATGGGGGGGGTGTATGGGGGTATGTGTGTATAGGGGGTGTATGGGGTGTGTGTGTGGGGGTGTATGGGGGGTGTGTGTGTATGGGGGGGGGGTGTATGGGGGTGTGTGTGTGTATGGGGGGGTGTGTATGGGGGTGTATGTATGTGGGGGTGTATGGGGGTGTGTGTATGGGGTGTGTATGGGGGTGTGTGTGTATGGGGGGTGTATGGGGTGTGTGTATGGGGGTGTGTGTGTATGGGGGTGTGTGTATGGGGGGTGTATGGGGTGTATGTATGTGGGGGGTGTATGGGGGTGTGTGTGTATGGGGGTGTATGGGGGTGTATGTATGTGGGGGGTGTATGGGGTGTGTGTATGGGTGTGTGTGTGTATGGGGGTGTATGGGGGTGTGTGTATGTGGGGGGTGTATGGGGGGTGTGTGTATGGGGGTGTATGGGGATGTATGTATGTGGGGGGTGTGTATGGGGTGTGTGTGTATGGGGGTGTGTGTATGGGGTGTGTATGGGGGTGTGTGTATGGGGGGTGTATGTGGGGGTGTGTATGGGGGTGTGTGTGTATGGGGTGTGTATGGGGGGGGGTGTATGGGGGGTGTATGGGGGTGTGTGTGTATGGGTTGTGTATGGGGGGTGTGTGTATGGGGTGTGTATGGGTGTGTATGTATGTGGGGGGTGTATGGGGGTGTGTGTATGGGGGGTGTATGTATGTGGGGGGTGTATGGGGGTGTGTATGGGGGTGTGTATGGGGGTGTGTGTGTATGGGGTGTGTATGGGGGTGTATGTATGTGGGGGGTGTATAGGGGTGTGTATGGGGGTGTGTGTGTATGGGTTGTGTATGGGGGGTGTGTGTATGGGGTGTGTATGGGGGTGTATGTATGTGGGGGGGTGTATGGGGGTGTGTGTGTGTATGGTGGTGTGTGTATGATGGGTGTATAGGGGGTGTGTGTATGAGGGGTGTATGGGGGGGTGTGTGTATGTGGGGGGTGTATGGGGGTGTGTGTATGAGGGGTGTATGGGGTGTGTGTGTATGAGGGGTGTATGGGGTGTGTGTGTATGGGGGTGTGTGTATGGGGGGGGTGTGTATGAGGGGTGTATGGGGGGGGTGTGTATGTGGGGGTGTATGGGTGTGTGTGTGTATGGGGGTGTGTGTGTATGGGGGAGGGGCGCACTGTGTGTATGAGGGGGAGGGAACGATCACAAGCTCTGCGTCTGATTGGCTCGCGGGTGAGGACGGCTCAGCCAATGACGGGCGGCGGGGTGGGCGGGGCTGCGCGGTGATTGGCGGGCGGTGTGTGAGTGACGGGCGGGGCCGCCCCGCCCCCCGCGCTCTCGGTGTGAGCGGCGGAGCTGCGGCGCACAGCGCGGAGGGCAGGACGGCACCGGGCGGGCGGGACGGCACCGGGCGGGCGGGACGGCACCGGGCGGGCGGACGGCACCGGGCGGGCGGGACGGCACCGGGCGGGCGGGACGGGGCGGGATGGCGGCCGCGCGGCTCTGCGGGTTACTGTGGCTCCTCTGCAGCTCACACGGCGGCTTCTCCCCATCAAACCAAGGTGAGAGACCCCGGGAGGGAGCCTCAGGGGGACCCCCACAGTGCCCGGGACCCCCCCTCCACCCAGTGCCCGGGACCCCAGTGCCCGGGACCCCCCCTCCACCCAGTGCCCGGGACACCAGTGCCCGGGACCCCCCCTCCACCCAGTGCCCGGGACCCCCCCCCCCAGTGCCCGGGACCCCTCCACAGTGCCCGGGACCCCCCCAGTGCCCGGGAACCCCTCCACAGTGCCCGGGACACCCCCCCCCCCCAGTGCCCGGGACACCAGTGCCCGGGACCCCCCCCCAGTGCCCGGGACACCTCCCCCCCGTGTCCGGGACCCCCCAGTGCCCGGGACCCCCCCCCCAGTGCCCGGGACCCCCCACCCAGTGCCCGGGACCCCCCCCCAGTTCCCGGGACCCCCCCCAGTGCCCGGACACCTCCCCCCGTGCCCGGGACCCCCCCCCCAGTGCCCGGGACCCCCCCCCAGTGCCCGGGACTCCCCCCCAGTGCCCGGACCCCCCCCCAGTGCCCGGGACCCCCCCCCCAGTGCCCGGGACACCCCCAGTGCCCGGGACCCCCCCCAGTGCCCGGGACCCCCCCCCCAGTGCCCGGGACCCCCCCCCAGTGCCCGGGACCCCCCCCAGTGCCCGGCCCCCCCCAGTGCCCGGGACCCCCCCCCCCCAGTGCCCGGGACCCCCCCCCCAGTGCCCGGGACCCCTCCCCAGTGCCCGGGACCCCCCCCCAGTGCCCGGGACCCCCCAGTGCCCGGACCCCCCAGTGCCCGGGACCCCCCCAGTGCCCGGGACTCCCCCCCAGTGCCCGGACCCCCCCCAGTGCCCGGGACCCCCCCCCAGTGCCCGGGACCCCCCCCAGTGCCCGGGACCCCCCCCCCCAGTGCCCGGGACCCCCCCCCAGTGCCCGGGACCCCCCCCAGTGCCCGGGACCCCCCAGTGCCCGGGACTCCCCCCCAGTGCCCGGGACCCCCCCCCAGTGCCCGGACCCCCCCCAGTGCCCGGGACCCCCCCAGTGCCCGGGACCCCCCCCCAGTGCCCGGGACCCCCCCCCAGTGCTCGGGACACCAGTGCCCGGACCCCCCCCAGTGCCCGGGACCCCCCCCAGTGCCCGGGACCCCCCCCCCAGTGCCCGGGACCCCCCCCCCAGTGCCCGGGACCCCCCCCCAGTGCCCGGGACCCCCCCCCAGTGCCCGGGACCCCCCCCAGTGCCCGGGACTCGGGCTGTGGGTCCCTGACCCCCATTGAGAGCGCACCGCAGGTGTTACCGCGGCTCCGGGGGGTTCCTCCTCGGCACTCGGACTGAGATTGCGTTAAATGTGCATTTAAATGCGTTTTGCTGACATCTGTCTCTCTGTGTGTCTCTGTGTGTCTCTGTGTCTCTCTCTGTGTCTCTGTGTCTCTCTCTGTGTGTCTCTGCGTATCTGTGTCTCTCTGTGTGTCTCTGTCTCTCTCTGTGTCTCTCTGTGTCTCTCTGTGTGTCTCTGTCTCCCTGTGTCTCTGTGTCTCTCTCTGTGTCTCTCTCTGTATCTCCCTGTGTGTCTCTGTGTCTCCCTGTGCCTGTGTGTCTGTGTCTCTCTGTGCGTCTCTCTGTGTCTGTGTCTCTCTGTGTCTGTGTGTGTCTCTGTCTCTCTGTGTCTCTGTATCTCTGTGTGTGTCTCCCTGTGTCTCTCTGTGCGTCTCCCTGTGTGTCTCTGTGTCTCTCTGTGTGTCTCCCTGTGTGTCTCTGTGTCTCCCTGTGTCTGTGTGTGTCTGGGTCTCTCTGTGTGTGTCTCTGTGCGTCTCCCTGTGTGTCTCTGTGTCTCTCTGTGCGTCTCCCTGTGTGTCTCTGTGTCTCTCTGTGTGTCTCCCTGTGTGTCTCTGTGTCTCCCTGTGCGTCTCCCTGTGTGTCTCTGTGTCTCTCTGTGCGTCTCCCTGTGTCTCTCTGTGTGTCTCTCTGTGTGTCTCTCTGTGTGTCTCCCTGTGTGTCTCTGTGTCTCCCTGTGTGTCTCCCTGTGCGTCTCCCTGTGTGTCTCTGTGTCTCTTGTAATAAATATTCCCATCTCACGTGAAGTTCTGTTGACTTTGTTCCGAGTCAAACTCGGGCTCCGGCCAAGAGCTGCTCAATTTACCCCATCATTAAGTGCGGTCAACTCCAAATATATATATATATATGATTTCCCGCTGTCCCGAAGTGATGAATTATATTCAAAACACAAAATACTGCAAATCAGTATTTGATCCTCAGGGGGTCAGGCGGCAGCTTCGTCGGAGAACGGGGTCGTGGACCCGAAGCGTCGACTCACTTTCCTCTCTCCACAGATGCTGCCCGACCCGCCGAGCGTTCCCGGTCACTTCTGCTTTTTGCGATGGTATATAGTGTCGGATTCGGGCGGACTATCTGTGAAAAGCGCAATCGATATAATAATAATAATAATAATACTAATAATAATCCTGGCATTTGATACAGCGCCTCTTATCGCGTCTTCGAGACGTCTCGAAGCGCTTCGCAGTAAAGTAAAAACATATCACAAGTAAAGTAAAACCTCCCACTGCGAAGTGTACCGACTTTCTGAGCTAAACTCTTCGAGTCCTTGTTTCTTGCAACAAATTGCCTCCAAACGCTGAGCTGGGGAGGGTTTCGCAAACTGTTCCTCATTCAAATTATTTGTACCTCTTGTCTCGGGGGCAACTAATTTTTCGGAGACTTGTCATGTGGTGCTCAGAGCACTCGCCTTGGAAGCTGGAGCACTGGGGTTACAAGTTTCCTTCCTCCGCTCACTCACCTCTATCTGCTCAGCATTAAGCAGGAACCCGGTTGTTAGTGAATTGGCGGATCGCTTTCTGGGGTAATAATCCCAGAATGATACCAGTAATATGTCACTCAACACACTATGGTTTGTGCGGACGCTGCTGTGCTCAATTGGCTGCTGCATTTCGCCCGCAAACTACACCGTCACCACTACGCTTCACAGTATATTTTGTGAAGCGCTTTGAGACGTCTCAACAACATGATAAGGAGCTGTATCGAATGCAAGGACTGTTATTATTATTATTCAAGCAATTCTGGGTTGACGGGACACTTATTAGGATAGAAACAGATGATTGCTTTTAAATACAGGGAATTAATTGAAATGAATCCCCGTTCACACATCGAGGGGTGGGGGGGGGTCGGTTTCACTTGCAATACTCGGTTAAATAAAACAGGTAACTGTCTGTAAAGTTCCGTTGGTTTGCGCTGTGCAAAGGTCGGTGTTATTTTTACACCCGGAGTCGGATCAATGCCCCTAACAATGTGCCCCCAACACCTTTGCGCTGCCGTCCCGTCCCCGTCCCGTCCCCCCCGTGAAACCTTCGTGAGTCACACAGTTCCTTCGCAAACGCTTCTGGAGGAGGCGCCGCAACGGTGTGAAACTGCGGCGCAGAAGGGAAGAGAAGTCCTCATCTTATTAAGCATTTACTTCCAGGAGTGACACCGTTATAAATATGTAACGTTATAAATATATAAATCTAAATGTTCTGAGAGATGTCCTTTTTGTTTCTCTTCTCCCACAAAACAACATGAAATCGGATCAAACTGAGATGAGTTTTAATGTGCGAAGGGGTGAGATTCCGGCGAACGAATTTGCCTTTAATCCAAATGTTTGCGAAACGGATCCCCAACGACTAAATAAACGGGAAATAACGACTGCGCCTTTCACAGCGGGAGGTCCCCGACACTCGGAGCTGCGCCGCTCACAGCGATGAGCCCTCACAGCCCGGGATTGCGGCTCAGCGCTGAGGACAGGACAGGGTGGGGAGGGGGAGAGGGTGGGGAGGGGGAGAGGGGAGAGGGGGAGAGGGTGGGGAGGGGAGAGGGTGGGGAGGGGGAGAGGGTGGGGAGGGGGAGAGGGTGGGGGGGAGAGGGGGAGGGAGAGGGTGGGGGGGGAGAGGGTGGGGAGGAGGAGAGGGTGGGGAGAGGGTGGGGAGGGGGAGAGGGTGGGGAAGGGGAGAGGGTGGGGAGAGGGAGGGGGAGAGGGTGGGGAGGGGGAGAGGGTGTGGAGGGGCTCGAGGGTGGGGAAGGGGAGAGGGGGAGAAGGTGGGGAGGGGAGAGGGTGGGGAGGGGGAGAGGGGAGAGGTGGGGAGGGGAGGGGGAGAGGGTGGGGAGAGGGAGGGGAGAGCGGAGAGGGAGGGGTGAAGGGGGAGAGGGTGGGGAGGGGGAGAGGGAGGGGAGAAGGGAGAGGGGTGGGGAGGGGGAGAGAGGAGAGTGGGGAGGTGGGGAGGGGGAGAGGGACAGGCTGGGCAGGGGGGGAGGGGGTGGGAGGGAGGGGGGAGAGGGGTGAGGGTGGGGAGGGGGAGAGGGGTGAGGGTGGGGGAGGGGGAGAGGGGAGAGGGTGGGGAGGGGGAGAGAGGAGAGTGGGGAGGGGGAGAGGGGACAGGCTGGGCAGGGGGAGAGGGGGAGGGGGTGGCGAGGGAGGGGGGAGAGGGTGGACAGGGGGAGAGGGGAGGGGGGAGAGGGGTGGGGAGGGGGAGAGGGTGGGGAAGGGGAGAGTGGGGAGGGGGAGAGGGGAGAGGGTGGGGAGGGGGAGAGAGTGGCCCGGGGGAGGCGTTCGCTATTCATGTCTATATTATCCGCAGTTTGTAATCGCGGCTCTGGGATCTCACACAACACCTAAACTATGAAGAGTTTTTTTGGGGGAAAAGAAAATTAGGAAATATTGGACACACATTCCAGTGGTTTTCCTGACGACGAGAGAATCAATGTTTCCCAAATCCGCCCATCACACAGTCCCGTTCCATCGGATGCAGTTGTTCACCTTTTTTTTTAATTGCACAACATCAACGATCGCGTTTTAATTATAAATAAAAAGGAAATTGCGAAGAATGTCCACAGGGGTCCAGGTTTACTGCAGCGTTTCTGAGGAAATGGGCAAATTCTCAAATGCAGATTTCAAGTTTCTTTTTGTAAGTCTTAAGGAACTGTAGAGAAAAGGGTTTTGGAACGGTACAGTTCGATGGTGGAACTTATCCCCAGTTATCGCGGTGAAGGGACCAAGGGATACGCAGTTTTATCTTGTGCCGAAAGGTAGAACCAGAGGACACAGCCCGCGACGGAACGGGGGACATTCCGAACAATTTGCGGAAAAAACACTCTCTGTCGGGGAGCGAGTGGTAAACTCGGGGAACCGGCTCCCTCGGGAGAGCGGAAAGTGTTTGTTTCACGAGCAAATGAGATGGATTTCTGTTGGAAAATAATATCTCGGGGTACGGTACGCCCCCCGCTTAACTAATTCTGGAGAGTATCAGGCACAGGTAGGCAAGAGCCGAGGCTTGGGGACCCAGTTGCAGCGATCTCACCTGGCGGGGAATTAATGCTGCATTTGAGCTAACACACTGGAGCGATGTGACCGACTTCTTGTCTGTGCTAAATATTGTCAATATTTTCTTTGCAGTTAATCTGTTAGACACTGGATCGATATCAGGGGATTGGGGGTGGCTGACGTACCCGCACAATGGGGTAAGTGACCCTCGCTCTGCGTTTTTGGTTTGGGCTGGTGGGGCCTCAACCTCCAACCTGTATTGTAATCTGCTGTACAACGCTGTCCTGTGCTGCACTCCACGGGGAATATCTCCGGGAATAGCGATTACATTGCCCAGTGATCCGCCAGGTTGAAGCCTATTTTCGTTGTTTTATTAGACTGTGTGTGGGACGCTGCTGTGCACAATTCGCTGCAGCTTTTACCCATAAAACATACAGTCAATCCACTTTACATATATCCTGGGAGGCGCTTTGAGTCGTCTCGATGATGTGATAAGGCGCGATATCAAATGCAAGGATTATTATTATAATTTGCTATGTTGCTGCCAATGCATTTTTGCCAGTTTTCTGCAGTTTATACAATTCCCAGAGCCACCAAGTCCAGAGCTCAGATTCGTTCTTGCCCTTAATAATAATATTAATAATCCTTGCATTTAATACAGCGCCATGTCTCGTTGTATCCGACTGTATTTTGCGGGTGAACGTGAAATGTTCTTTACAATTTTAGTTGCTTTAAGAATATTGTGAAACGTGTGTATGTTTACTATTTCCCTTCAAATATGTCAGAGAGATGGGAATAGAGGACGTGGGAGGGGAGAGGGTTAGGGTTGGGTGGAGACTTGTGTGGAGTTTAAGTGCCTAATTCAGCCCAATTGTGGTGCTGCAGATTCTATTCACAGTGTGAATCTGTGTGTAAAGCTGTGTGTGTCTCAGTGTGGCTGAACACGTGTTGAACCAGTACAGAGCTGAGCAGCTCACAGAGGAGTAAGGGACCCAAGTACCTTCTGTCTCCAAGTGCCTGGCAGTAATTACAGTGAAGCACTTTGAGACGTCTTAAAAAAAAGATTGCTTACGTTAGTAAGGAACGGAGAGGAGCCAGAGCCAAGTACTTAATCCAAAAATAACGTTCAGATCTCGGCAGATCGGGCTGTACATGACACACCACTGGCTTCTCGTTAATAGTAATAATAATAATAATAATCCTTCTGGAAACCACGAGTGTCATTCAGTGTCGCTGTGACACAAATCCAACACAATCCTTCCAATAATCATTTGCAGTTTAATAAGTGGGTTGTTATTGTTCCTGAGTTATTAACAATCATCTTTGTATTTGATAGAGCACCTTATCACGTCATTGTGACATCTCAGATTTTACTGTGAAGCGTAGTGACTATTTTGTAAGGCAAGCATGGCAATACAGTCATGGAATGAGTGACCAATTTTTATTTATTTTAATTGTTGTCCAGGACACCGGGAAAGAGAAACTCCCTTCTCTTTTCGAATAATGCCACGGCATCTCAAACGTCCACCTAAACTTGGTTTAACATTTCATTCCGAAGGACAAATGCAAGGTTTATTAACCTTTCACTGACTATAGTCAGGCACCGGCAAACTCAGCAGCTTGACGTGGTGATGTGCTCTTTATACCCAGCAGCATGTTAATTTATCCTCCCATGTGAAGCCATGTCACTGTCGCTATTTGCCTCCATGGTAGAAATGAGCGGTGATCTCTTGCTTCCTCTCCGTGTTAGTAACTGTCGGCTCTACTTTTCCGCCAAGGAAAGCTTTCTCCGTGCTTTATGTCTGCAAGACACATCCAGCCTTTGTCCTTTGTGATTCATGCTCTACAAACACTCATTTGTGCTTATGCCAACTCCCACATTGGAACTGCGTTATCTACTCTAATCCCAATTCCCTGCGCCTTCTTTCATACACTTTCGAACAATTATCCAATTGCCTATTAACTGCATAGTTCAGCCTCTTGTGGCTTTCTGTGTGGAAAAGTTTACTCTAACCTTTAACACCTCCAGGCATTAATCCTGTGTATCCATCCTCTGAAAAAATTCTGAAAAGCTTTGTAGATGCTCTTAGCAAGTGAGGAACAATGTTTGTGTGCCTGACATTCTGTATTAAATGCAAGTTTAGTTATTTCCAGATCCGTTTGTCTTTTGATTACAATACACATTAACAATCTCTGCATTTGATAAAGCGTCTTTTGCATCAGGAAGCTGTCTTGCAATGCTTCACAGGGTGAAGATTCAGTGCTTTTTGTTCCAGCTTTAATTCTCCAAACTAAGCTGATGTTCTGCACAACGTGTTCAGGGCAGTGGCTCTGGTGCTGTCTGAGGAGAGAGACTTTTGCCGCAGAGTCTGTGTTTACGCCTCAAACACATGTACTTCTTCCTGCTCTATTAATCATGCGAAGCGAGTGTGTGTTTGCGTCACGCACTGCTACAAGGTTTAGACTTACTTCATCATCCGTTTCCAGTGTCTGTTTTGGCTGCATAAAGTGAATATTTTATTTAAGCCCTTAGGCTTGCTGTTACCTAAATCATTGCCACCTTTTGCGTGATTTTCCACATCAAATGGTTTCAACACTGATACCAGATGAGTTGGAAAGCATTAAAAAAAAGCTTAGGCTTTCAGTCGGCTCCCGAGGTGAAAGGCTGTGTGTCAGTGCTAATCAAAATAGTCTTGTAAAAAGCGCTATATCAAATGCAAGGATTATTATTATTATTATTATTGTCACAGGACACATCCGCAGCACAATGTTCCTCAGCCAATTTGAGAGTCATTTGTGAAAAGATTTGTAAATAGCTGATCCGATCTTTCAAGTAATCATTAATAATCCTTGGATTATTACATGGACCCACAAATCTTCTGACACATACGCATGTGTGTCTATGAGTGTCGAGCAAGAGAGGGTAAAGAGTATGTGAGAGGGTGAGATTCTGAAAGAGGGTATGTGTGTGTGTGTGTATATAACGGAAGGATTGTACTGCAGACAGGACGCACATTATTGGTCACTAGACACTCGCTAGGTCTGGAATTGGTAGCATTTACTGTGAGTTGCTGGGAGTAATTAATATTTGACAGCTGGAAGTGGCATCTGGGGAAAACTAGAACAAAGGAGCCTGTCGCTTTAATTCCGAGAGCTGCAACGTTTTCTGAAGCAAAAGTTTAAAAATAACAAAAGTGACACCCCAACCAGCGATACGAATGTGACCATTAATCACGCCTGCTCCACATTCGCTGTGCCGAGCCCTCCTGTGTTTGTGATATGATGCACTCGCTTTCCTTTGGCAGAGGCAAATGTTTCTTTATGTCTTTAAGTTATTTTTAAATTCCTGCTTTGCTGATGTTGTTTGTTCTCTCCATTAAACATCTTCTCTTGGCTGAGGGTGATGGGAACGAGATGCCTTGCCAGGTCTCCAATCTGCCTGTGATTACGACACTGCTGGAACACATCAATGTAAGATAGCTGCTAGCAGAACTACTGGGGAGTTTAGGAGGAACTTTTTAACACAGAGAGTGTGTTAAATAGCATTAATTTAGACATGAGGGAGAAGGGCATCGAGGGGATTCAGAGGGGTGGGGGCTTGTGTGGAATATGAACCCGCAAATGCTTGAAGATGTTTCCACGTGATGAATTATTACAAAGTTCTTTCTTGATGACATTTTAATACCTAAAGTAGCCTTCACTGAGGTGACTTAACAGATGAGGTTCTTGACACAATTGTGTGTATGCTATTAAACACAATCTGTTATCTGTACTTGGTATCTATTGAGGTGTACTTGGTATAATAATAATCCTTGCATTTGATATAGCATCTTATTATGTCATTGAGCTCTTCAATACACTGTAATGTGGATTGACGGTATTTTGTGGGTGAAATGCTTCAGTCAGTTGCACAAAGCAGTTGCCCACAAACAGTCGTGGATTGAGTGACCAGTTATTTTTATCTACAATATATATATATATATACTATGAGGATTGTGGTTTACAATCTGCTCGTGACAAATATTGGTGGGTGAGACTGAAATCTGCCACTATTGTAACATGACCTGATTGTCTCCATCATTGGAACGTGAATTTTCTGGAATTGATAGCATTTAATCAGTTCATTTAATCGATCTCAGTCAGTCATACTCTTGCTTCTGAGCTCACAGTCTGGCTGGTGCTCCAGTGCTGTTGTCTAATTCCCTCTTAATAGGATTTGTGGGTGAAACGTGCAGTTTGTGAATTAATGCCCCGTGATGTTCATCATCACCTCGTAGTACATCGCACTCCTGGAGACATCTCCGTGGATGACCAACACGTCCGCCTCTTTAACTTCAATAAAACAAAAGCCAGTTGCTGCAATTAGCCAGCTATTTTGATGCTGACTGGTCCAAGCGTTACAGTGCTGGCTCAGGGACTGAATAGATTGAGAGAACTCTGGCCTCACAGTCAGAAGTTTGTGGATCGAAACCTTTGAACTCGCATAGTCTGGGTTGACTTTCGGATGCAGTGCGAGGTGCCGTCCTTCAGATAAGATGTTAAACCGAACTCTGTTCAGGTGGACATTAAAGATCTTGTGGCATGACTCGAAGAGAAGGGAGTTTCTCCCATTCTGGCTGACAAACCTTGTCTCCGATTAAATCGACTGCGGCTGTTTGTGGGACATTGCTGGGGCAAACTTTTGGCAACAAAGTACAGTCACCTTCACAGTAAATCCTGTGAAGCAGTTTGAGATGTCCTTCCGGTATGATTAAGGTGCGAAATTAATTGGAGAAAAAAATATGCTATCAGTGCAACTTTGCTTGGCTTTGAGTGGCGTCTGGCTCTGGATTGTGTTCCTGAGGTCAGGCCAACCCTCCGAGTGTTTGCTCCTGATCACGGTCTAAAATTCTGAACCCTTTTGATTCTGTTGCTGAGCAGCACTTGTCACAGCAAAGTTGTGTAGTGTAATCTGACAAGTACCATTACAAGGGCTTGTTCCTCCTGCGCACACAATATATGTTAGACTCAATGCCTTACAGCTCATGTCAGCCAGATTCCGCTGGCTCAAATCCAGGACATGCGTTACAATCTGTTTATCAGTAGCACATGTACTTAAGGAGAAATCAGTCTTGTTCTTGTAATGTTCTGTCACAAATGTTTAATGGTTTATAATGAGTTTATCCTGAAACTGTACGGCTGTAAAATCTGGAGCATTAATTCCTGGAACATTGGCAGCTGATAACAGTGACTTTCACAAAGTGGAGGAGTGTTGTTGTTCACAATAAAATAATTTAATAATACTTGCATATGATATTATGAGTTATGTCAGTGCTATGAGACATTATCTTGGCTGAAGGGCGCCATATAAATGCAAGTTGTTGTTGTTCTGACGTCAATGTCTCAGCGTGTCACAGTAATTACTTGAACGTGAGGTGACTGTGTATTTTTAGACTAACCTGACAGCTAATTTGACAGCAATGTCCCATAAACAGCCAGACATGAAGTGAATGATGATTTATTTTTTCAAAAATCTGACACATTGTTAATTTGTGTGTTTGTGTTAATCTAAGTTTCTTCCCCCAACTCCTTTCTGAGGAGGTAAGAACGGAGGTTGCTCCAAAGTGATGTTCTTGGCAACCGAATGTTGGAATCGATTCAATCCTCTGTAGCCTCTGTCGTCCAATTTCTGATCCCATAAACAGCCAGCAATATACTTCATGGAATGGAATAACATTAATAACATTAGCTGTCACGTTAGTCTAAAAATATACAGTCACAGTACTTCAAGGCACTGCTGATAACAGCCCAGCCAACCTGGCACATTGGCAGAACTTGGATGGTCACTGGGGCCAGGGATTGAATTCTCACTCAGCTCCTGTTAATCTGAAGCCAAAGCCCCAATGGGCTGCGTGGTCCTGGCTGGACAAGCAGCGGGAAACTTGCATGACAACTCTCTGAACAGCGAGCTATTTCACATAATTGGTTAAACTCCAATGCACACTCTGGGGTCCCTGAGCCTTGGCTCTTGCCAACCTGAGCCTAAACCTCACTTGAATTCTCACCTCTCGTGTGTCTCTCCAGGGGGAGAAAGAGGGACATTTTCCATGTGTAGATGGTACATGTATCTGGTTTGTAAGGTGAAGGGTTTCTGCATGTTTTGGACACAAGATGACCAAAAAAATGAACCAATTCTATACTGAAATCCTCGCACCAGGAATGAGTGGCAGAAAAACCAGGTGAGAGTCTTGAGTTACTCCTTCATTGCCATCTCCTCATCAAACCCAGGACAGCCCAGCCTCGTCACTGTGAAGCGCTCCAAGACATTATCCCATACGTTATAAATCCAAGTCGCCGCTGTTTTTTGAGTTGACCAGTTTACGCTGCTTGCTGTCTAACGCATGAAACCTCTTCTTGAGCACTAAGGCTGGATTGACAAATTGGTACCAGGTTTCCCAAAGGAAAATTACCGTGAGAGTCCGGACGGAAAAGCCATGGGTGTGTGCCGGTTGAGGGTGGAACGGATTAGCTCGTGGGTCAGTGCGACAGACTTTGCTGAGTAAACCCCAGATTTTTATAAACTTTTAATAATTGATTGATTTGGAACTGACTTCTCGCTTCTTGTAAATGTTCGTGGGTGGTGTTCGTGGGAGGTGCTGTCAGCCAGCCACTGTCCTGCACATCTTTCACATCTGGAATCTGGCTTGAAAGCTGCCAAACTGATGGAAAGATATCTCTCTCCCTCTCTCTCTCTCTCTCTCCTCTTCCTCCCCCCCCATCTCTCCCTCCCTCTCTTTCTTTGTTGACTCCGTAGGAACAGGAAGAGATCATTCAGCCCATCAAGGTTGTCCTGACATCTCTTTTGAGACCACAGCAGATCTTTTTATCACTTTTTCCCATCCCTTTCTTCCTTCCTTTCCTTCACACCCTTTATTCCCAAACATCTATTCATCTCACTTTTAATTTCCCCGATTCTGCTGTATGATCTTCTGTGAAAATTATTCTCTCTCTCTATCCCTCTCTGTTTTTCTCTTCTGTATGTCTGTTTTTCTTTCTTTTGCGCTCCCCCCCCCCATCCCCTTGCTCTTTGTTGGCTGCAATCATTCTTCTATGAATTTTGACAGGGAGCTCTAACATGGTGGGATGTAGGGGGAGGTCTAACATGGTAGGGTGTAGGGAGAGGTCTAATGGTGTAGGGTGTAGGGGGGGGGTTGTGTCCCACTAGTTGGGAGCAGACACATTGTAAGGCAGGATGTGCTGAGTTATGTAACTTGAGAGGCAGTGAATCCACAGCTCGTTACTTGATTCCTGACGACAGAAACTGCATTGTTTCCGTGTCTCGAGTCTGTAATTCTAGCCCTAACGCACACTGCGTGGAACTGAAACAACAGAAAGAATAACTTTCCATTTGGAAGTAACGATCAGACAGCATTAATTCCCTGTTAGAAATGTAGCTTGTGGTGGGTTGAGTTGGGGGAGGGGGGCAGACAGTGGACTTGCATTACCACTTGGGATCAATCAAAATTTCTGCCGAGTTGTTTACAATCCTTACAAAAATCAATGTTTATGGTTGAAAATAATATTTAGATTTTTATAGCAAACTGGTTCAGGCACACGGGCCTCACACTATGTGAACCTTGAACCATGCAAATTTACTGTTTCGCTCCGAGACTCAAACCCGCATGAAGGGCGCTGTATAAGTCAACTTATTATTGTTGTTGTTGTTGTTCAGCCATTAAGTGTCTGAAGCATCGGTGAAGAATGTACGGACTTAATGGGAAAGGTGTTCAGAGGAGAACCTTCTGTTCAGTCACTCGCTAGCTGCACAGTCTGGGCTGTCACTCTAATGCAGTGATGGGGGGAGTACGGCATTGTCAGAGGTGACATTGATTAAATGCAATTATCCAATTCCAACTCTAACTGCCAAGCTTCGGTCCCTGCACTCTAAATCCATTCTCTATCCCTCCTCCTCACCTACTTGTGGAGTCCTGTAGCTCAGTGGTTAGAGACGTACTCAAAGAGGTGTGTAACATTTTAAATGGGATTGACCAAATAAACCCAGAACAGTGCTTTAGGGATGCACTAGGGGAGCAGAACAAGAGCTCAGTGGTTAGAACACTCACTTTGCAAGCGAGAGACCCGAGTTCAATTCCAGGCAGAGGGCGAAACCTTGGGCAAGTTTCCTTACTCCACACAGAGACTAATAATAATCCCTCCAAAACCAAAAACAATAATAAAATTGGTCATTTTCAATCTACGACTGTTTGTGGGACATTGCTGTGCGCAATTATACAGTCAATTCACTTTACAGTGTTTTCTGTGAAGCGCTTTGGGACGTCCTCCCGACGTGAAAAGCGCTATATCATATGCAAGGATTATTAGTATTAGTATTATTATTATTTACTTTGTATCTGTCTTTAAAACCTACCTCCCCCACAGCGTCTGTGGTCACCTCACCCTTTACCTGTTTCCTTTGCTCAGTGTCCAACCCCACACTGAAGCATGTGAGACACTATCCTATGTGAAGGGTGGCTGTATGAATGCAAGTTGTTGTTGTTGCCCAGACAAACTCCGCTCAGCCTGGGTGGAACCTGAGACCTTCTGATCTACGTGACTCAATTACTCACTGAATAAATTCCCCGAGTCTTTGTGGGATGGAATTTTTCCCTAAACATAGCTGAACCGTGGTGGGGGGTGGGAGCGGAAAGGAGTGACCACAGCACAGACTCCGGGAGTGAGCACAGCACACCTCCAGGATTTGAGGAAATTCCAAGCGCAGCTGTGTATGTTTCTGATGCTTCGCCCAAACCCCTTAATGAGCTGCATTGTCTAATTTAGGCTCTTTGGGTTTATGAAGCCAGAAAGAACTTGTTCCTTGACAGACTGTCTGTTAGGTACGATGTTTTAGTGATTGTTGTACGTGTGGTTATAATGGGAAGTCCCTGTAATTCTCTCTGGATTTCCCCTATCCCTCATATGTTGTTTGAAATGACTTTCTGATAACTCTTAGCCAATCTGCGCTTAATACTCTCTGGATTTAGCTGACTCTCTGGGAAGAGACTGCCTGGTCCATTCCAGATACAAGGTTATTTCTATGCATAGGTAGCACACCCGGGAATCAGTCTGATATGGATACTGTTAAGCATGTTGATGGGTTTCTGTGTATGTCAGACATTCAACTGAATAACAAAAAGCAGCTTGATTGAGGTTCGGGTAGCATCTCAGCGCACTTAAACAGTCAGTCTATCATCAGCACGGCTGCAAACTCCAGCGAAACGTCTTGATTCTAATTCTGTTCTCTTCCTGCTGTTTATTGCCCATTCCCCAGAAATAGACTCCCAGTTGTTCCTGATCATTCAGTGGATCGAAAACAGAACTTGTTACATTTGCAAAATGCATCAATATCCTCTTCAACACCTTTGTAACAGCTTTGACTCTGCATGCAAATGTCCCGTTTAATGGCTGTAAAACCAATGACTGGCTAAAATCTGAATGGAAGGGGCAGGATTTCTATATTCGGTCTCAGAGGAATTGCAGATCCAAACCTGTGTTCCCACTGTCATGGACAATATAATGGCCTCCATATTGTCAAAAATAAGGACTCTTTAATTGTATTTTTATATAAACATACAAGCCCATGTTAGGATTTTGAGCCGACACAGTCTAAGGTGGCTCCAAGTGCAGTGCATTATTGGAGGTGCCATTATTTGAATGAGATGTTAAACCGATGTCCCGTTTGGATGTTCAGGTGGATGTTAAAAATTCGGTGGCACTATCGTAAAAGAGGAGATAGTTTCTCCCGATGGCCCCCAAATAAAACTGGTCTCAAAATCCTCCTCAGCTGTGACTGCTGTGTGAAGCGTTTGAGACAAATGTCTGAAAGAAAACCAATGTACAAATGTAAATCCTTATTGAAGAGGTGGAGAGAGTTTTTGTGACTCCAAGTTGCAGAAGCAAAGAGGAAAAATTAATTGTTGCAACAAATTATGAGCCGAGTCCTATTGATAACCAGTCTGGAGATCGCCTGGTATTAGCACTGTTATATCCAATTCCTTGTTCTCTTTCTAGTGGGATGCAATCAGTGAGATGGATGAGTACTTCACTCCTATCCACACGTACCAGGTCTGCAATGTCATGTCTCCCAACCAGAACAACTGGCTAAGGACTAACTGGATCCAGAGGAACGGGGCGCGGCGGATATATGTTGAGATAAAATTCACGCTTCGAGACTGCAACAGCATGCCAGGGGTGGTGGGCACGTGCAAGGAGACCTTCAATTTGTATTACTTTGAGTCTGACAGGGATGTTGGCAGCAATGTGTGGGAGAGTCATTTCGTGAAGATTGACACGGTGGCAGCTGACGAGAGCTTTACCAGCGTGGACCTGGGCGTCCGACGGCTCAAGCTGAACACTGAGGTCCGCGGAGTGGGGCCGTTAAGCCAACGAGGCTTCTACTTGGCTTTCCAGGATATAGGGGCCTGCATTGCCATCGTGTCCGTGAGGGCTTACTACAAGATGTGTCCGGCTGTGGTGAGGAACCTCGCCGTGTTCCCTGACGCGGTGACTGGGGCCGACACGTCTTCTCTGGTGGAGGTGCGAGGCCGGTGCGTGGACAACGCCGAAGAGAGAGAGCCCCCAAAAATGTACTGCAGTGCTGAGGGCGAGTGGCTGGTCCCCATCGGCAAGTGTGTCTGCAGCTCGGGCTACGAGGGACAGAGAGACAGCTGTCAGGGTAAGTCTCCCATCTCTTGTTACCTGCTTCTGTCTCTGGCTTATCTGTCTTTGAGCTACAACGTTGGGACATCCTCCCGACGTGAAAGGCGCTATACAAATGTAATCTTGTTGTTGTTGTTGTGGGTTCAGGCCTCACATGAGGACTTGTAACTCATCATCTAGGCCATTGGTGGCCAACCTTTTTGGTCAGCCACAAAATACATTTTCTTGATCGGATATTCCTTGATTGATGCCGTGCGAGTGCAAATGTTCGGCGGCCACTTCCTGGCTGCCTCGTGCGCCTGCCTGCCCTCCGTTCCACCATCGGTGACCGCACTTGTTGTTGCTGACGTCGTCATTGTTGTTTATTTCCCTCTCTTACATTCCTTATGCTTTACCCACAAAACGTTCACTTTACAATCAATCCTGTGAAACCCTTTGAGACGTCCTCCTGACCAAATGCAAGTATTATCGTGTTAGTATTCCCCTTCTTTCATAACTGCAGCTATCGCTTTCAAGTGAAAAATGCATCAGATTACTAAGACGCATTAGAGCTGGGTTTGCCTGTTTGCTTTATGACTATAACAAGTAATGACTCTTGAGTATTAGATGAATTTGAGAATCTTTGGCCAAAGATCTTAATTCAGACGAACTGGAAAGAAAAATAAGCGGAACTCCCAAGCAGTCCATGTTATCTTTAATATAAAATGTGTGTTTGCTTTTGATTGGAAATGAAGGCTGAACAGTAACTGCGGTTCGGAGTCTTTGCTGGGATTCGCTCGGGTCAGTCTCTGTGGGACTCGTTGTTTACACGGCACCAGAGCTGGTGGGAAAGGCCTGGCCGGTGAGCAGGCAGCTCCCGGGCACAGCATTTACTCCCAAGATTCACTTAATAACAACAAATTGTATTTATATGCAGTAAAACTCGCACAAGTCTGATCTGTATAAATCATATAATCGCCTCTGGGGCACGGGGAGGCAATGAAGCCGGTAGAGGATGGGGTTGATTTGTTCACGGAGTTTAGTGAGGGAGAGGACATGAGCTGCAGACTTCTGGATAATCTGCAGTTTGTGGAGGGAAGAGTTGGGAAGTCTGGCGAGCAGGAAGTTAATCCTAACTTTCTAGTGAGGTTAAAGGTGCCAACCTTCAGACCCAAGCCCCGTATGCCCGTTCCCTTCGCTCAGCCGGCTCCGGCCTGCTACACGTCCACCGACCCACTCTGCCTCCTCTTCGACCATGCTATCGGCCAACACCCCTTCCTTCTCCCCTCCCTTCTCCCACCCCCCACCCCAAACCCAGCTCGGGTCTGAAATGCTGTACACTGTCCAGCGCCTTGGGACGTCCTCCCGACATGAAAGGCGCTATACACATGTAATCTTGTTGTTGGTTGTTAAAGATCCCACCGCGCTTTTAAAAACAGAAGAGAATTTCGTTATATTCTGGGAAGGGCTTTAAAGACGTGATAAGGTGCTACATCAAATGCAAGTATTATTATGATCATTTGATCATTCTCTTCAAGGGTGTTTGTGGGACCTTGCCATGGGCAGATTGGCTGCTGTGTTTGCCTACAAGTATACAAATTTGACAGGCATTGTCTGTGAAACACTTTGAAGCATTGCAACAAGAAAGATGCTATACTGAATGCAAAGATTACAGTTTTTACAATATGATTTCCTTAATGTGAACTAGAAGGCATTTTAGAGTCCTGGACAATCCAGACTCGTTAAACCACCCATCTCTGTGTTCGGTTTAGGGTGAGATTTTCAAAAGTTGCCACTCAACCTCTTTGAAGGCGTTTAAATTTCGTCACTCGCTAGGTTTAAATACCGGCAACAGCTCCACTGAGTGATGGGCGGGAAGAGATCTCTGCCGGGACAGGCTCCGAGTGAGACAGTTTGAGAATCGGGGCTTGACCATGGGCTGCGGAGCTACTGATCGTCTCAACAATTAGGTGCAGCTTTGGATTGATTTTCCCGCGAAGGAATCGGTGTATTTGCATAAAGTGTGTTTCCTGATTAGTTGGTACAAAGCAGTCAGTTCTCTCCAGACCAGATGACTAATATGCCCCAAGCAATTGAGGCAATCTGACTGCCTGTAAATAATTGGTATCTCGAAAACCCATTACATTATTTGATGAGAAAGAAAGTTCCATTTTCTAATAAATAGCCTTTTGATACTCTTAAGGGTTTGGTAGTGTGATATCTATCGGTGGTGACTAGGGAGGCTGACTAGTCAGCTGTTCTGAGACGCGCTTTGATCTGAAGGACATATTAAAGGGAAGTACCAGCAGATATGATATATATTGAACACCAATCGAGCTCATGGCTTGCCTTTTGCACGATCGCCTCCCAGGCTGGAAGGCTGTGGGTTCAAGCTCCATGGAGGGACTTTGAGCTCACTGTCAGTACAGTGCCGGGGAAATGCTTTATTGTCCTTTGGATGAGATGTTAAATTGTTTTCCCACATGCCTGTTTGGGGTGAGAGGTGGAAGGGTTTTGCCCCTTGTTTCTCCAGAGCGAACTCCCTGAATCATTCTGTTCTCCCAGATACACCCAGAGATGTCAGCCTGATATCTCGTTAGGCTTGTTAGTACACTTCCCCCCACCCCCCCGGTATTTAGCCCCCGTTCAAGACCTGTTAAACTCCAGGTTGATAGTCCAGTCAAATGTTAGATTGTATTGAAAAACAAAAGGAGGTTTCTCTGTTCCTCCAAGTAAACTGGCCATTCACTTTAAGGATGTCTGTGGGACGTTGCTCTGTGCAAATTGGCTGCTGCCTTTGATTACAGAAATACTCGCCACACGTGAAGAGTTCCAAATCCTGACGTGGGGTTTGAACCTGCATTGGTGATTTCTATGATGAACCAGTAGCTGTGACATTGTTCTCCCTCTCTCTCCCCCCACCCTCCCCCCCACACACCTCCCCCCTTTCTCTCCCCCTCACACACCTCCCCTCTTCTCTCCTCCTCCACACACCTCCCCGCCTCTCTCCCTGCCACACACCTCCCCCCTTTCACTCCCCCCCACCCCCCCCCACACACACCTCCCCTCTTCCCCATCACCGGCTTGTACATTTCAAAATTGCTGTAAGTAATGCGGAGTCAGCCCGTGCTGGCTGTCTCTTTGTGGTGACAATTGGACCAGATCGGCCAGTGAAATAGCAATGAGGGAGGCGAGTGGTGGAAAGAGAAAATCAGAATATGAATCAGTCGGAAGTGATCCGTATCACTTTGCGTTTGCAAATCTGTGTGTGTCAGCCTGGAGTGACTTGGATCTGATTAGGTGTGGCTGAAATCAATGCCTCTAAACACTGCCCAGAGATGTGAAGCTCATTCAGACTAAGATTGGAATCTTTACTGAGGTTTTCCCTCTCGGATGAGTTTCCTTCAAGTAAATCTATCCTTTTTCCATCTTCAAAAAAGAACAGATAGGTCAAGTGGAAATTAACACCAGAGTGCAAGGCAGTGAGCTGCTTGTATTGGAATTTGTTGTTGTTCGGCCTGGTGTCTGACACATTCAGAAACCCATCATTGTGCTTAAGAGTCTCCAAACCAGATAGAGTTACTCATAAGTCTGGCACCTACACAAGGAAATGTCCCTGTGTCTGGGATGGAGTAGGCACTCTGCCCACAGAGTGCCACACCCTGCTAAACTAAACCGCGTGTCTTGGTGCAATGGGATCCCGATGGGGTTTAACCAGCTGGAACTGCACAGTTTATCGCTGAGAGGACTGGCTGGCTACACGGGGCTTTGGCTTGCAGAGTTAATGGGAGCTGAGTGGGAAGGATCCCTGCTCCCAGTGACTGATCATCCCTTTCAAATCCTGTCAATGAGCGAGGCTGGCTGGGATACTGCAGCCCCGCCTGGCTCAGGAACCGGGATACCCAGACCTTCACAGAGGGTTAGTTAACTGGATTCTGACATTCTATTGCCAAACAAGTCACCTTACAGCCAGCGCAGCACAGGGAGACCAGCCTGCCTCCACCGCAGGATAGTCACTTAAATATAATTTTGTTGTTGTATTTGAGTATTTGAACAGGAAGAAGGAATGGAGGATATGGGAGAGGATCAGGAGGGGTGAAGGCTACTATGAAGTTTGAACACCGTCACAGACTAGTTGGGACTGATTGGGACTAATGGTCTGTTTCTGTGCAGTAATGTTCTGTGTAATTCTCTGCTGTGAGAAACCTCTAATGGACAGACTTGTGTCCAGGGGGCAAATTAAAACTCCAGAACCTCGTCGCTCTCAGCAAAAACACCCTCTGATCTGCACTCACTGACCCCGAGCTTTACACAAAAAGACTCAAATGGAAAAAATCAGCCACCATTTACGATGATTAGTGTAAATATATGTGCTTTTAATTATAAAATAGGAGTGCTGTAATTCATAAATATAGATTAAATGTCAGATTTGAAAAGTGGTGTTTTTAATTGTCGTCCGGTGTGAAGAGAACAAGGTTTCAGATCTGGGCTTTGGTGCAATTTTTCATTTCCTGCCATCAGACCTTGGAGTATAAATCAACTCTGTCTCCTCAATAAACCTTTTATAAATATTCCATATTTTCAATGAATGAATTTGAGCCTCATCCACTTTTAATTTAAGACTTGGTACCAGCTCTGATTCTTTCTCTTTAACTGCGCCATATCGAGTTGGTGTGAAATTCCCTTTAACGTTATGTTTTGCTATTTTGCACACAGAGTCCCACAAATAGACATGAAGCGAATGAACAATTTAATCTGGACACTGGGAGAGACTGTTGGATTCACTTGCATTTGACTCATTAAATCCCCGAAAAGGGCTCATTAGTGAGACTCCCATTGACTCCTTTTCATATCAAATGTGCAATTGACATGCCATAGCCCAATGGGGCCCTGCCCTGTTATAATCTGAATTTTTAGCCAAACATTTTGTTAACACATAACAGAAGTTGCCGCCGGGCGTTGAGTTTGCTCTGGTGTGAAGGGTAAACAAGTGTATTTTTTTTGTGCTTTGTGCGCACTTTATTGAAATTTATAAGA